CGCCCTTGTTTCTATGTGGACATCGATGCAAAACAGGGCTTTGGTCCCTGCCATTGAGCACCTATCAGTTCTACTTCCTGTTCCGATCTAGGTATCAATATGGGCCGCTGCTACAGTTCTTATCCTAGAGCGACTGCCAGTTGTAGCCCTAGTTTGGATTGTAATACTAATGCGGAATACGGCTTCAGTCTCGGCCCAACAGGAACAAGCAGTTCTCTTTTCAGTATCGAGAGTGTGGTGTTGGTGTGGATGTGGATCTTCTCTTCTTCTAAACTCACATCCATTGCTTCGAATAAAAGTCGTAAAATATACAAGACTACAGGAGTGCTATCAGCAACTTAAACAATAATCTTTCATCTAATAAGCAATAGCTCCAATAATATTTCGTCTACTGTTAAGATGTTATAAGGGACTCCAGTGAAATGATGAACGTTGCCTGTCGATTCGTAATCCGTTATCTATGTGTTAGATGGCCCAGTGAATTATTACCTTATCCTATTAAGGTTTAACGTCACGAGTATTCTCGTGAAGGATGACTAAAGACTGATTGCTTGAGAGACAGATCTTTAATACTGATTGAAAACGACGTAAAAATATTCATTTTTTGTCAAAAAATGAGCTGAAAGAGAGTTTTTTTTTGCAAGCAGTAAATCGGTGAAATACCCGTCGCTACCAATCTGTAGATTCTCTCAAGCACACTACCTTTAATCCTGACTTTAAAGATGATCAATACGAAATGTAGGATTGTTTTGACCTGCTCCAAACGTTTCAGTTAAGAAACAATGTCAGAAAAATATGGGTTTTGCAGAAATTCCGATGCAATTTTAACTTAAGTAACGACGTTGCACTCAAACTGCAACTATACAATCTAGAAGTAGCGATAGCTCTAGATAAAAACGAATCTCTTAGAAGAACAACAATCGTTGGACGAAGTCATGAGAAGATTAGAACGTAGGTTAAATTCATTCATAATAGTACAATAGGGCTAACTTTTCCAAGTTATCCTATGATTTTTTTTGTTTAGAATGATGGGTGTATTGAAAACTTCTGAGTTAGACAGGAATGTACTGTAATTGAAAGTGCTAAGTGTAGTAGTAGTGCTCCTGATTCGCATGCATGAAAGTGAAATTGGAATACTCCAATGTTAATAGCCTTTCACAAAATTTAGCGGGTAGCACAGTTCAGATTTGAGTCGTTGGACATCTGTTGTGTTTTCTTGAGTTGTACGGGATACCGATCGAAGTTACTTTAATCAGTTTGGCTTTTATTGCCAAGTTCGATTGATTTTGAACCAAGATTTTTCATGAGGTTTTATACTTTCCTGATTTAAGCGAAGAAAAGTTTGAAAACGCATACGATACATTTTTGAACGCCAGTTTGATAAAAATGTCGAAAGCTACACTGAAAGCAAAGACAATATTTTCATCGAGATTTTACGAGATAGCTTTTTCAGTGTGGTAATGTTGACTTTTATACGACACAAATACTACAATAAAGAATTAAGAACCAAATGTAGCCATGACGACTGATTTGAAGTTGAATTTATAGCTTCAGACGAAAAAAGACCTTGCAAGAAACTGAAGGAAATGTGAGTTGCTGTGTACGACAACCAGAAACATTATCGATCAAGTAACTATGGTAAGATTTTGGTCAACCCTTCTTTATTAAAGTACAGCAGCATCTTTATGTGTTTCAGAAAAGGATCAGCGAACTTATAGAATGAGCGTTACCAGTAAATAAATTATCTGATTAGTCCCAATCAGAAGTGTACAGAACGAAAAATATAAGTAGGTCTCTGCTGCTTACGAGAATACTTATTCCCATAGGTCATACCTATTAAAGGAAAATATGTCATTTATTATTTCAGATAATTCAAATAACAAGAATTTCAGAATACCTCAAACATAAAAAAAAACCCTACAACAATTTTCCCATTACCTCGAATGGACTATGAGAAAAGGATTTGCTAGAACTAAGACCATGAGAATTAGTGTCACATACCTGTGAGTTTCATTCCCACTATTGCACGTAAAATGTCGACCCGATTGTCTCACGATTATTAATATTCTTTTTATATTCACTACACACAGTTAATAGTCAACATGTGAATATGAAGTAACTCTTCATAGATTTTTTCGTACTACTAAAAGATATTCTGAACAAGTAAATGAAACACTACTATAAACTATACACGGATCATACGCAAAATTAAGTAGCCGGGAGTATCGATTCGTAGAGGCGCTGACGACTGACTGCAAGCTGTCTCTTAAACTTCACCTTAGAAAACTTCAACAGAAAATCAAAAGGTCCAGTCTTTTTACAAATCGGTAGTCACTGGCAACATTATAACCAGTTTTTTGTATGTGTGTATGTTCAGTGATAATTGTCAAAATAGAATCCAGCAAATGATGACAGATGATGATGTTTAGATCAAATTCAGTCGAGAGTCAAGCGAGTCGTGTCATGAGCATTATTTGTTTATTAATTAGATGTAAATTTCTAACAAAATGGAATAGATGAAAATAGCAGAATTGAAATATTCCTCTAATCTTTGTGTAATTGTGAATGTCGTATCAAAACAGGCAAAATATACTTCACGATATAAGGTAGAAAAAGAAAAACAAATGATTATTGTCATTGATAATAATATGTTCTCGATGTTTGTAAAATAAGATATGTTCGTGTGATATTTATATCGATAATAAAAGAGAAATAGGAAAATTATGTGTAATCAGACAACTATATCATACTGATTTATCTCGTCTAGATATTTTTCAAGGTTGATACGCATTCAAACTATAATGAATAGAGTAAATGTTTAAATAATTTAGTTTTTTATCTTTTGTCAATAAGAAAAATTCTGATTGCAAAAAAAAACTGATTCTTATATTAATAGTTATGTGTTGAAGATTAATCTGAATAATAAAACAAGGATATGAAGAAGTACAATGAAGGCAAATTATTGTTTCAATTTTTTCTTTTTGTCATTTCATTTTTTATATTTTTGTTCTAGCATCTGTGACCCACTCGCCTACATTTTCTTTCTTTAATTATGTAGTATTTTCATTTGCTTTGACTTATACACGAACATATGGTGACTTATATCTCTCTTTTGTACATTATCTCAAGATGATACATGAAGAAAATGTCGAAGTATTCCAGTACACATTCATTGTTTTTTATAAGCACGTGTGCCATCCGATATTATCTTGTATATCTTTCTCCAGTTAAAATCGCTTCGCAAGATGTGCATGAAGGAATGATTACTGAATATATTATTAATATTTCTCATCTTTTTTTCGGAGTCTCACATATCAAACATGCATTCTTATTAAGTATCTATGATTTTAGATTTTGATTATTTTTAGATAGTAAAAAAAAGATGCATACATCTCTTTGTATTGCTATTATTCTTACATTTATCCAGTCGATTTTAAGTGCACATGTTGAAGATAATCGAATTATTATTGGATCAAGTGTTGGTGGAGTTTTTGGTTTAGTAAGATTGATTTTCGAGGATAATAAAAATTGTTTTTCTTTTTTTGTTTATGATTTATAGATCATCTTGATCCTTGATCTTATTGCAATTTTTGAAGTACTCAAATCGGGTGGCCGTAGTATGTGTTCGAAACTTATTTGGATTTTAATTATCATCTTTTTTCCTATTGGTGGTATGTTATTGAAAGTTTTTTTACTCGTGTCTTGATTTATCTCTTCTATTTGTTTAAGGTTTGATTTTATATTGTTTATGTGCTCGATCTCGTAAAGCCGATGAAATTGTTTAAAAGTTTTGAGCGACGCCAAAAACGACATATGAATAATGGCAATGGGAAAGTGAATAGTTGCGTTTGTTTTTCTTTTTTGCACATTTTATCTCATATATTTAGCCAAGCTTGTTATCATATAGTTTTCTATTGTTTTTCCGTGGTTGATTCTATTTATTACTTCATTTAATATATGTATTTATGAGTTTTATATAAATATTCAAGATTATATTTACTATTCAAAAAGCAAAAATTAAAAGTCGAAGAATAATAAAATAGAAAATTTTGAAATTAAATAAAAATGTGAATCACTTGACTAATACTATGTTGATAGAAGTCTTGTCTGATACTGCGATAATTAATTCTAGATAATTTATTAACATCTTTACAATTCTATACCATTTATCAATCCTTTAAGCTAATCTATTGTTCATACTTTACTGATTGTATGATATTCAAACTGATTTTGTTTTCTTCATCAAATACCAGCACTATTTTGTCATTTATTTTATAATATATCTTTTTCAATTCGAAAACTCCGCATTGGCAACTGTCATTGGCATACAAAAGTAGTTGCGCGCTACTCGTCGAAAAAATCCTTTACTTGGTAAATGTCGTTTATAAATGCAATTGTTGTTTTTTGCATTTTCTTTCAAACGATCATATTGTTGTATTGATGATAATTCATCTTCTTGACACTTTTTTTCTTTATTATAGGAAGATGGTTGTTCTTGATAATGATGACGTTTTCGTTCATTGATATCTTTCATTTTTGCATGAGCATTTTTATAAGCAAGCGATGGATGACGACGCCGTGGCTGATGATCATTTAATGCATATTTCCTTCTTTGTTTTACTGGTGAAGGTGATGGTGAAGGGCGTTCAAGTAAATTAAATAGATCACAGTAAATACCATTATCTTCTGATTGCTGATAAATTCGACGAGGTGCTAGCAGAGGAGGAGCTTGTGATGACAAATGAGACGTCTGACAAGGATATGCAGCATAATAATTTGAAGCATAAGTAATAATTAGATCTTCTAATCGTCGATGACGTCTTGGTGTTACTGGCGGTGGTGATGGTATTTGATCATGATAAGATAAAGGGGAACAAGTGCGATGAGTTATTGTGTTAGTATAATCTGGATGAGTGAAAAATAATGAAGAACAGGTAGAATCATTAGTAGGACTGGATGGCCGGCAGTGCATGTTGGAGATCATGCATGCCGGCTAATATTTAGTCCTGAAATAATAGTAAATAGAAAAAAAAAGTTCATCCGAATAATATATCATTTTGACTTACATTTTTTTTAGAATTGTCAATGGAGCGTTGCGAACAATGCGCAGCACTCTTGTGTCTTTTTTCTGTCTTGTTTGCCTTTGCCTTGTCTCTGCTTTTCGCTTACTACTTTACTGCGTGTACTTGTACACACAAGTAATCAAGGCTAACAGTATGCCTGACGTCGTTGCATTACCAACTTGCTCATATATATTTTTTCTTTTTCTCTCCTATCTCCTATTCTTCATTTGTACACGTTTACGGTCATTGAACCAGCACACGAGGCGATTACTAGTGCATGAAAAAGAAAAAAAGAGGAACGAGCAATAACCTTGCTTGATGTTGATTCCGTCGTCATTTGTACATAATCTTTTTTTCTTTCTTCATTTCTTTCATAAATGTGTACAAATGCAACCTATAACAGGAGCTTGACGAACGAGCAATATTTATGCACATCAGTGTATATATGTATGTATGTGTTTGCCAATTGATCAATTATCCAACAAGCAAGACGAAGGCAAAACGAAAAAGTCATTAGAACTATAGATCCATTAACAGCGACGTATATTAACTGATAAGATATTTATAGACAATCGATAACTACAGATGTAGATCATAATGATTTTAAAAAAAAAAAAAAAAGACCGAATGTCATTCAAATACCAATAAAAGCACTTGTATTACACTTCTTGCAATTAATGATTAGAAAAAAAAAAAACATTATTTGCTTCTTGAAATATTCTTGATTCGTAATCAAGACCATACTTGAAGTAATATAAGCGTGAAGGACATCAAGTTAAATGAAGTCGTCATTACTACTAACGAAACTACATTAGTATTAAAAATTTGATTGTAACATAAAAAATAAAGTACATATTTATCGTTGTTAGATTTGGCCATAGAAATTATAGCCATTCTATTTAAATAAAAGACAAAAGAATAATACAATGAAAAAACAAATTGATATTAACAGTTGATATTCTTTTTTTTTTGTAAACGTTTTTTAATAAAGTGTTACGCAAATAGTAACTTTCTTGATTTATCTTTTTTTAAAGATCTATCATTCCAAAAAAAATTTTTTTAATTAAATTTTTTTGTTTTCTGATGGTCATCCTCCATATTAAATTCATTGACAAATACATATGTAAATAAGAAGACGACGAATGTTTGTAGTAGTAGTAGTAGTAGTAGACATTTGAACACACAAGAATGAGAGCAAATACAACAAAGTACAATTGAAAAAAATGAAACGTATGTGCGTATCTATTTGTAAAATAGAAATAAACATAATGCAGATCGATTCTACTACCAATCTAGTCTTACATATATACAAAAGATGGAGAATGAAAGGAGAAAAACAAACGATTTTTCGAAAAAAAAACAGAATACAGTCACTATTGACAAACAACATTTAGAAAAAAAAAAGGAAAAAGATCATTAGACACACACACACATACAAACAGATAAGAATTCAATATGTGACTTCATAGAGTGTAGCTTTTTTGTCTCCTGAACCTGTTAAAATATATCGATCATCAGCTGATATGTCACAACAAAGTACACTTGATGATTCTTTTGATTGAAATAAAAGAAGACCAGTTGGTGTTCGACAACAATGTATATAATTATCTTTACCAGCTGATATAAACCATTTACCTTGATGAGCAAATTTAAGTGCTAAAACACAACTTTCATGTAAACTAAGTGTATATTTATCATGAGTTTTTTTCATTGATGGACTTGTTGCATTACTCATAGCTGATGATATATTAATTAACTCAACTGTTGATGATTCCATACCAACAGCAAGCCATTCACCTGTTGGACAATAACCCAATGTAAAAATTTGTGAATCAAATTCATATGTTTGTAATGGTGCATAATCATTACGAAGATCCCAACAACGAACTGTATTATCTAAACCACCTGTCCACATTGTACGACCATCTGGTGCTATATCAATACATGATGTACCATCAGCTAAAAATAAAAAAATAAAAATAATTTTAAATGAAATTAAATAAAAAAAATTCTTACTATGTCCAACAAAAGTTTTAACTAATGATTGATTATGAATATCATAAATAGCCACTGAACCATCTGAACAACAGCAATAACAAAGTTTTGAATCTGATGGACCAAGAGCAAGTGCATAACAAGCAGGTGCATTTAATTTAAGTTCACCTTTAATTCTTGGTGATGTTGATGATGGTGGATGATTTGATGATGGTGGTGATGATGCATTAGAATTTGGTGTTGATGAACGTGTATTACTTGCTGAACCACCAGTAACTGCTGATAAATCACAAATTGATATTATATTTGCTTCACCACCAACAATAAGTGTACGATCATCAGAAAGTAATTTACAAAAACGTATATAACTATCATCATTAAGACATTTAAAATAGGACAATGGAGTTCGAATAGTACCAGTTTGTTTAAGATCCCAAACTTTAACACAACCTTTACCACCCTATGAGAAGCAAAAAAAAATACAATTTTCATTATTATAATTATTATTTTATATTTACAGTATAAACACGTTTTGATGGTTCACTTATTGTAACTGCACAAACAACTTCTCCATGCATTAATGTAGCAAGTTCACGAGCTGATGTTGGTATATTAGAACCAGTTAATGCTTCAGGTGTCATATTCACAGGTGTTGTCACAGGATTACCTTGTGCATCAGACGTTGTAAAATATGAATATGCTTGATTCAAAAATTGATTATGATGATTATTTGGTCCATGTTGTTGTTGTTGCTGCTGCTGCTGCTGCTGTTGTTGTCGTTGTGCTGCAGCCACCGCTGTTGCTTGAGCTGCTGCAGCAGCAGCAGCTTGTGCTTGAGCCATTTGTTGAACATGTTGATGTTGTGCTGCCATAGCCATTGCTTGAGCAACTTCAGGTGATGCAAATGGATGACCAAATGGACCAAATGGATTTAATGCATTTGCATGATGTGGACCAAGGGCACCAAAAGCAGCTGCAGCTGCTAATGCTTCAGGTGATGAAAACGGACCTGGGTTAAAACTGAAGTATAAAAAAAAAAAAGATATAAAAAAATTCAACATAATCAGATTTTTATTCTACCCAAATGCAGCACTTGGTGGTAAACGTCCGCCGCCAAATCCTGGTGGTACACCTAATGGTCCACCTGGTTGCATTTGAGATGAAACAACATTTGATGGGCCTCCTGTTATTGGTGTCATTGCTTTATTTGGTTGTGGAGTATTTCGTTCTTTTTTTATTGCAGATGATGAACTACCACGTTGTGAACTATCTTTATCCGACATTGGACTTCGATCACGTCGACTTCTTGATGAACTTCCACCACCATTTGGTGCTGATACTGGTGGTGTTGCAGACATTGATTCATTACCAGGTACACTTCCTGAACCAGTTGTATTATCATTTATTTCTGATTTAATACCATTTGGTAAAAGAAGACCACTACCCATATGACTACTACCATTAATATGTTTTTGATTTCCACCAACACTTGTATCAATAACTAAATCAGATTCACTACGTTCACCATCACTTTCAGCTGTTGATTGTTTTATTGGTTTTGATATATTACTACTTGTACTTGATGGTCGATGTTTAGATGATTTACCATTTGTTGATGAACGACTACTACTACTATTTTTTGTAGCTAATAAATCAATATTATTTGCTCGTGGTGATGATGCATTTTCTTTTGACATTGATGAACCACTTTCTTCTTTAAGTCCTGGTGCATATTGAGAAGCTAAACTACTTAATACCGATGTATAATTTAACATTCCTGGTGGTAGACCAGAACCAGCACCTGAAAGTCCAGGTGGACCGGGTAATTGAAGATGAGGTGCTGAACCAAGACCAGGAACACCACCAGATAATTGTTGCATTCCACCACCAGGTCCTGATGGATTTGAAGCAGTAGCAAGTGCAAGAGCTGTTGCTTGGGCATGAAATTGTTGTTGAATGACACTTCAATAAAAAAAAGAAAAAGAAAAAGAAAAAAAAACAAAAAAATTTATTATTTTTAATTTACCTATTAAGATCATTCATTGTAACTTGTTTAGCACGTTCGAGTGCAGGTAATGCATGTGATTGTTGTTCAGGTGTTAAATAAGGAATGATTTGATGAAGTAATGCAATTAAACGTTTTGTTATTTCAGTTTGTTTATGCATTTCATATGATAAACGATATGCCATTTCATAATAAAGGCAATATTGTCTTTGTACTTCATTTTTTTCTGCATTTAATTTTTCACATTCAATACGTAATTGTGCACGTTCACCTTGCATATGAGTAAATTCTTTTTCTAATCGATCACAAACATCGTTAACACTAAAATCATAACTACCACCAGTGGTAGAACGATTATTACCATTACTGTTATTAAACATTTTCTATTTTAACAAAAAAAAATAAAAATAAAAAAAAAATAACAATAAAAATCAATGAAGTTGAAACAAAAAACAAAGAAGAAATTTTTTTTCTTCTAACGTTTACTTTTAGATCATAATTGTTTTGTTCTATTTTGTTATATTAATATATATAAATCGAATTTATCTAGAATGTCAGATAAGAAAACAAAAGAGTCATTCATTCATCAATCAATATATAATGCGTCCGTCCGTATCGGCGAACGAAGCAATCGTATAGCAGCTGACAGTAGCCATATTTATTAATTGATCAATGTGTGACAGAGGAGGATACTAATTCTAAACAGTTCGAAATGCATAAATGACTTTTATGAAAATAATTTCATTGGTTTATTTTATTTACCATTCGGAAAATAATAAATGATAATAATTGTGATGATTTTTCTTTCAATGGTGAATGATAATGAAAACTTAGTAGCTAAATCGTATGGAAATTTTTTTTTTACTTTTAATTATTGAATATAAAATTGAATGAATACATCTAGAAAATCATATAGTTGGCATTTTGGTAAACTACCACGAATACAAGCTGAACAGTTACTTAATAATGAATATAGTGGAACTTTTCTTATACGTGAAAGTGAACATTTTCCAGGAGATTTAACATTATCAATTAGAGATGAAATTAAAATTCAACATTATAGAATTAAATATGATGGAATAAATAAAACTTATACAATTGATGATGAAACTTTCTTTTCTAATCTTAATTTACTTGTTCAGGTTTGACGACTATTGTCGATTTCTATTGAATAAAATTTATGGAATTCTTGGTTTTTTTTAGCATTATGAATCTGATGCTGATGGCCTATGTTGTCGTTTAGAAAAATCGTTGAATAATAAACATGATACAATTGTTTCGATGAAAATTGGAAAAACAGTGTCACCTGTTGCAAGTGTTTCATCTGAAGTATCATCGACGATTTATTATAACGAATTGCAAATTGGAAAACTTGTTGGATCTGGAGAATTTGCTGGTAAGTGAGATTATTTTGGAAGTATATTTATGATTAATGTTGATTGCTTTTTTTTTTGTAGAAGTTTATGAAGGAACGTATAGAAAATCTCGTGTTGCTGTTAAAATGTTAAAAGAACCAAATTCTGCAACAAGCTTTCTTCATGAAGCTGATATCATGAGGTATATCTTATATTTTTTCTCTATTAATTTATTGTCTAATAAATGAATATATTAAGTAAATTGAAACATCGAAATTTGGTTGAACTGTTGGGTATAGTTCGAAAATCCGATAATATTATTTATTTAGTTACTGAATTCATGGCTAAAGGTTCACTTCTTCATTATTTAACAACACGTGGTAGAACAGTGATTTCTCAAAGTGATTTAGTTGATTTTGCTATGTAAGTTTTCTTCTTTGCAATTAATACATCATATCAATTATCAAGATAGATTCTATTTATTGTTAAATGAAAAAAATCATAATAGAATATAGACGATGTGTAGTTCAAGCAGAACAGTTTTCGATCTTACTGAGAGAATAAAATTTTTCTAAATTGATATGACTATTTTGGAAAAATTAATATTGTCATAAGTGATATCTACTTAGGGCATACCAAAAGTACTGGCAGTGACACTTTAATACCCTATAGTAGGCTTTAAGAAACTTTCTTTCTATATAGTCTGATAGAGAAAAAAATGCTCTATCTTTCTATACTATTTGATCGTACTTCAACTAATCTCATAGTATTAAATTATCTATAAAACCAATTTCGGCTGGTTATATGCTGGTTGTAAGTTTTGCATTGCAGTTTTCGATTTCTTACTAGTTGTATTAATAACCAAAATATACTATAAGATGCAGCGTGAAAAGCTCTACAATTTGCATACGACCACTTATTTTATAGCTGCAATTTTTGTTTTCGAAATCGACAAAATTTGGAGCAATCAAATTGTGAAGATGCGAAAAAGAGAATGTTTTCGATACACAATGAATTCATTTTTGTTATTTCATTGTTTATCACCTGATATGCTTTACCAAAAGAAAAACAAAATATACCACAAGATGCAGCGTGAAAAGCTCTACAATCTATACGGTAAAGCTTATTGTAATTGTTTTCAAAAAAAGGAAAATTCTATGCGACCAATTTTCTCAATACCAAAAATTTGATCCCTCAAAACTTTATCGATTTTGAAAGCAAAAAGTGCAGCTATAAAATAAATGGCCTTATGTAAATTGTAGAGCTTTTCATGCTGCATCTTATGGTATATTTTGGTTGTTCATACAATGTCTTGAGGGATTGAAAACTAGTCTGTTCTCACACGTTGTAATCTAGTACAACCAGCACATAATCAGCCGAAATAGGTTTTATGGATAATTTAATATTATGAGATTAGCTGAAGTACGATCAAATAGTATAGAAAGATAGAGCATTTTTTCTCTATCAGACTATATAGAAAGAAAGTTTCTTAAAGTCTACTATAGGGTATTAAAGTGTCACTGCCAGTACTTTTGGTATGCCCTAAGTATATGTATGTGCATTTTAATAGATATGTAACAATATCAGCTTAATCGTTCAAAAGTAGCGTAAATATTTACTTGTGGAAAAAAATAATGTTGAAAATAGTTTATAGTTTGTTTTTTATGAGTTATGTGAACTGAAATAATCGTTTTCAGTGGGTATGCTAAAACGATGTATTAGTATAAGTTGACAAGGGAATATTTCCAACTGTTCAATCACTTGTCGTTGGAGATCATTCAATTGGCCATGATGAGTAGTGGAAAATTCTGTTTTGATTTAGTTTTCTGGTCTTCGCTTGTTGTCTTATGGCCGTTTTACTCGTTTTTTGCCCTATGAACACAGAATTATTGAACATCTGACTCTCGAGTCGAAGTTTTGTTCATAGGTAGATCTTATAGCCACTAGAAATGTCCTGCATATGAAATACAGTCCAAAATGGACGTTTCTCTAGATTGTAAATGTCTTAGTAAGGATACGTTCGTTCTTGCTCAAGCTTTGACGTTTTTCTAGTGACTATAAGGCAACCTGTAGACAAAATTTCAGCTTGAAATTCGATCATCTAAATTCTCACTGATTCTATGCTCATTGGACAAAAGTCGAGCAAAACATTCATAATTCAACAAGCAAAAATTGGAAAAAAAAATTAAAACAGAATTTTTCTACTACTCATCATGATTGATCGAATGAAAATTGTCTCAAACAAAAGGCGATTGAACAATTGGGAATGTTTCTTACCAGTGAAAAGATATCGTGTTGAATGATGTCAACCTATTACATATTAATACTTCAATCATATTGAAAAGACTTTAAATAAATTAAAAAATACGCAATCAAATGATGATTAAAACTGTAAACGATTGCCATTCCCTATGACAAAAATGAATGATCAAAAAAAACAGTTTAATACTGATGATTGTGTTTTTTTCTTTCATACAAAATAATATAATCTATTTGATTATTTTGTATTTATTTTAGTGATGCATGTGAAGGTTTAGCTTATTTAGAAAAGAATCGTATTGTTCATCGAGATATAGCAGCAAGCAATATATTAATTGCTGATGATAATACAGCTAAAATATCAGATTTTGGTTTAGCTATATGTTTAGAAACAATAGGAAAAGAAAATGGAAATAATATTACGACAGAAAAAATCAAATGTCGAACAAAATGGACTGCACCTGAAGTACTTGAATCAAAAGTAATGTGCTTTATTTCATCGAAACAAACTATTGTATTTCTTTTGTTTTTTTTTATTTTCTATAGAAATATACACATAAAAGTGATATGTGGTCTTATGGTATTCTTCTTTGGGAAATATTTTCTTATGGACGATGTCCTTATCCTCGTCTAGTAAAGAAAAATAATAAAAAAATATCTGAAATAATTTTATATTCTATAGCCTGCTGATGATGTCTTGATCAATTTAAAAGAAGGATATCGAATGGAACCACCAGATGGTTGTCCAACAGAAATTGGTGATATTATGCGTCAAGCTTGGCATGCTGATTCTAATCGACGACCATCATTTAGCCAAATACTTGAACGACTTAAACGTTTGGATGCATCTTTTTAATCGTCATATTTATTTTTAACGGCTTATATCGTCATTTCTTAATTCATCCGTCTATCACAATATTTATATATTATTAATATTGTGATGTGAATTTCTATTGTATTTTAGTTAATTTAACTTCAGAATGATGGTATTGTATATATTCATCTGTTCGTTTTCTTATTCGTTGTACATATATTGTATTCAGCAAAAAGCAAAGTCTGTGTTGTTTTCTTATATGTGCATATATTTGTTCAATTAATTTTATCTTTCTTTCATATTTTGATAAGCATTTAAATCAAAAACAAAAAGTGAACTTTTTTTTTCTATTGTGTTCTTTTATTACTAACAATATCGTTGAAATTATTCAGTAACATGACTATAAAATTTGCAATTATTATTAAATTATATATATATATATATATGTGTTAATAAAAAGACATTTATAAGTCAAATATGACATATTTTATAAGAATTAGTTCTTCTGATTCTTGTAACGGGCATAATTTTATTATTCTGATGATAATTACATAATGTCGAATTTTGTAGATGGAAAATAGATCCGTTTATTCATCAACAGAATTAAAATGTGCACGTTCTACTTGAATAAAAAAGAATTCTAGACTATTTAAAACTATTGAAAATCATCATAAATCAGTTAGTTCCTTCTTGAAATTATATCAATTCATGCTGTTTAGTGATTTCTTTTTCAATTATTCTGACCTATTATTTATATATTTCTGTTTATTGAAGATAAACATGACATGAGTACAGGAGATGGAAAAGGTCTAGATTTTTCACGATCGATGCAAGCCAGACCAACATCGATTTCACCTCTGATGAGTACAAAAGCAGGAATGTTTTTCTCATTTAGTAAACAATGTACTAGGTTACTCATTTTTCTTTGAAGTCTTCTGAGGCTTGCTTTGCTCATTTCTTTTTTTACAATTCATATATCTAGATGCTTAACAAAGAATTTTTATGTTCGAAAGAATTACAACAATCCATTTGAAAAAAAACCAGTAGTTCTAATTCTTATGCATCATTGAATTTCAACAATCTATGTTTCCTTATTTGGTGGTAATACTTTTTTATGGTTTGGACAACATTTCAAACAAAATTATCATCGTATTCTAGCCGGAGACCTGTTAAGAAATAGGTTTTATATATCATAGTACAAGTTCACATTAAATGATTTTACTAAAACGTTGAAAGAATATTTCTATTATCAAATGCTGGTATAAAAACAAAAATTTCCATCAAATTTTTCTTGATCTTATCATTCATATCTTTCATTGCTAGGGAAAAAAAAATGTTTACTTTAATGGTTTCTAATATTTATCCATTTCTTCGTACTATCCATAAAGTAAAATCTATTTATATTGAATATGAATATATTTTTTACCGATGAAAAAGAATACAAAATCAATTCATTAAAAAAAAGTATACAAGAAATTGATAAAACAAAAAAAATAGTAAACAACTATTTAAAAACAAAATCTTATTAAGTATTAATTTAAATGCTTCTAGTTGTTAGTCATTTGTAAATAAATGTATGTTATATTCTATTATATGCATTTTTTTTTCGATGCTAGTCTCGAAAATTTCATTTAAGACTGACACACATTCACCTATAACGCTGCAGATCAGAAAACAAAGATCAAGTACACTTAAGAAGCAACTCGAAACATTCTCTTGATATTTTTTTTTAGTCAACAATTACTACAGGCACGTATGAGACTGTTAATCCAGGTATTATTAAACTATCAATAATCAATGCACTCAGTAAATACCAACGATAGAGACTATTGTATCGGTATGTCAGACCTCGACCTTTCAAATGTCAATATCTGAAGGCTTAAAAAAAAACATACATTTGATTATGATGGTCAGAAAAGAAAGATGAAGAATTATTCGTAGTACCTCGATGAGCTTCAAAAATTGAAGCAAATGTACAGTAGTCAATAGAGCTTTTGAAAATATCTTAATATAGATTCTATTTTGAACACCATTTATATGAAATAGTATCACAAAAAAGATCTTATTGAATTTGGTTTACAATTGAAAGATGACGAGGATGAAATGATCACAGATGTCAATTAGATACGTGTAAATGACACAACAAGTAATACCTATGTACGAATCTTTTGCAGATCGTAGATTAGTACCCTGAATACATAGATGTCCATCACAGTTGGATATATGTCGCTGTCACGATGATTTTCGAGAAATTCTTCGAAAATCTCTCCCATCACTATGCTCAATTAGCACAGTTAGATTGAATCCATCAGATTTACCACGATTTTGACTGTTGAATTTTTAGAAACTTAAATTGGGTGAAAATTCATGCAATTTTATAATCTTTCTGACGATATCTCCTGCCTGGATATGACCAAAAAAAGAAAAAATCAGAGGAATGATAATAATGGTTAATAGCAAATATAGAAGATCTTTTACTTTGATGAATGTACAAGTAGACCCCTATGATATATCTAACAACAAACGAAATGAACAAATTTAATGAAAATTTAACTCAGATCTTATCATCTTGATTCAATTGAGGTGAATATATGACTTTTCATTTAGTAGAAAATTGTAGAGTTCTTATAACGTTCTTTCAATTCTATAGATCTTATTGATATTGATTATTACATTGAAATAAATAAAATCAAGATTATATATCTATAAATTAATTATCAACGATTCGTTATGCCAGGAAAAACGCAATACAACAGAAATATCTTTCGAATTGTACGTGAATCAGAGATCGAGCAAGCGTCTCAAGATTGGCGAAGTCTGTAAGAATATGTCTCACAGAGGTAATAAAAATTCAAAAAAAAACCTTCCTAGTTTACTGCGCAATAACGAACAATTTTGAATTATTAGAGCGGTATATACCCTCTTATCATTCCACTTTCATGGCTCCTGATGAAAATAGAATGTTAATTAAGCGTATGTCATTCCATATTATTTATTTGTTCTTTTCAATTACTCGAGTTGTTTTCTTTGTGATATAATTATGTAATGGGAGTATTAAGAAAGGCCATAGCCTAATAATAACCTTGGAAATATTTTTCTTTGATATAATGAATTCACATTCCAAAATTTATTGGTTCTTCTTAGAAAAAAACGAAATTTATGAAATAAGTGATTGTTTATTATATCAAAATAATATTTGTTTTAAACTAACTTTTTTACTATCTCATTTAAAAGGAAATAAATCAAAAAATTTATTCAAAGTATTCTTATTTAAAAACTCTTTAGACTTGGAAATAATTTTTTCTCTATCGAAGATAAGTTGGATATGTACAGCAGTAGTAACTACAACTGAATGAATTTTTTTCATCTTCCAATGATTAGTACATACAGTAAGAAGATAAGTATTATACAGAAATGCTAATTTGCATACCAGAAAGAAAAATAATCGATGTGTGATAACAATATATGCATTATAAGAAAAAAAAAAGGAGATAACATATGATTTTGATTGATTTATGATATACAATATCATTCTTTTGAATTGTTGGTATTTATCTATATTTGTATTTAATAATGTTGAGAAAACATTTCAAACATAATTATATTATCCTATCTATATGCAATCTGTTTTGATTATTTTATATATTGTTTATTTGACTTTCTTATTATATTGTTTTTATTATTAGTAAGTATTTACCATTTTTATTTTAGATATTAATCAATATTTCAAAAAACAAAACAGAAATTAATTTATTTTCATAAACAATACAAATCGATCTAGTGAATTCTATAAGATCTTATTTAATTAAAGAAATACTAATCCACATACAATAAATATTCAATGCTACAACGCATACTTAGTTCTTTCTTTTTCTTTTTCTTTTTCTTATCAATTACATAGGCATTCGAAAAGTTGGTTGTTGATAAGTATAACCCATACGTGATGCATCTACTGGTGGATATCTTATTGATGATGGTGTTCCTGGCATAATCTGTTTTGCATCGGGACTATACACATATTCATCACGTTGATCTACACAACAACTAGCATAAATACAACCAAAAATAGATGTTATTGTACCAACAATTGAACCAAATGCACCAGCAGCAATTAATAATGAATTAAGAATAAGTTCATTTGATTGCCAATTTGGTGTATTATCATTAGAATATTTCATATCATATTGAACAGGAATAATACATGTTATCATCATATAAAATGAAAGAATAGTTGACACAATTGAAAGTGCTGTAAATCCAATAATTGATGATCGAGTACATTCACGTGATGATAATATACCTACGAGACCTGTAGCCATTAAAACGAGACCAACCCAAAAGCCTTTACCTAAACAAAAATTAACAAAAAAAAAAAAAGAAAAGCGAAAGATCATATTTGAAAAACAAAAAAAGAAAAGAAAAGAAATTCTTTTTATTTACCAGATGATGGCCAAAGTGGATTTTCAATTTTTAATCCACCTTCAGATTCATTATAATTATAAACACTTGGTTTTCCTTGAAATAAATCAATAACAGACAAAATTAATGATGCTAAACCAATAAGAAATAATATAATAGCAAGTATAGCAAGAATACGAAATCGTAGACGATTTGATTCATTGTTTGAATTATAAAATTTCTCCATTATATAGACAATATAAGTGATATGTTTCTCTTCTTTAGATCAATATGAATATAACGATGAAAAAGAACGAAATAAACAACATTGATCTCAATGATCAATGAAGCATGACAACTATCATCGGTCAACTTTCAATATTTTTTAATATCCACCAAAGAAATGAAGAAGAACAGTTCAATATTCGTCGTATCCGAGAGGTCATCCTGTATATGACTAGGTGTATACAAAAAAAAAAAAATACCGAAGACATTAATTTATTTCGTCTCATCTTCTATCAATACACACATATATGTATATCTGTATTTTTACTTCACCTGTATGAACTTCATTTTATAATATGTGTGTGCATATACATATATATATCTATTTATCTTTCAAAAAAAAAAATACAAATCTGCCC